ATGCACCAGGCACTGCAACACCTACCCCCTCGGGATTGGGAGACACGTACACCTCTAACTTGTCAGTGTCTGTACAATGATTAAACCAGTTTTAAAAAATTGGTTTGTGGATTTCATTTCAAAATGTTGAATAACAATAAATCTAAATGGTTTTAACAGCTTGTTTGAGGTTTATATTTATTCATTTGGGTCATTTCATGGAAATATAAGATTTCTGTCTAGGCCTGGTTCTGTTGCTTTTAATTGTACCTGGTGACTAAAATTGATGTCAGTTTCAAAATTTGTATTATTTCTGTTTTGCAGTATTAAAACCTGCTCTCAAGACACAGTTTCATGTCATCATTTAGTCGATGCCGAATTCATCGTTAATATTTTTGTCATCCAAAGCTTTTGCTGTCAGTGGAATAGAAAAATCTTACAAAACTTCAAATCGTCCCCAGGAGCTCTAGCTGCTGTAGACATTGCTAATTATTTACATTTGTTTGCAACATTGTGCTTGAGGCTCAGTTCGTATCAGTGGGGAAGATGCGATGTACCTATGTATATATTACACTGACATGTGTGATAAGGGATAGAATAAAAAGACAATGATATATAGACCAAATTTATAATTTATGTTCGTAGATATTTGTTTGGTCATGACATGACCTGATATGGATGGCTAAACATACCAGAATTATCAGTTGATAATAGGACCCTCATTACAGGAATGGCTGAATTGAATTTTAGGAAAAATCATGTGTAATAGTGTTTCAACACATCCATGATACAACAGCCATTTACAGCAAGTAAAGTAAAGTTGGCCAGTGTACTGGGGAATGAGCAAACAGCCTTACAGAGTTGTCTCCCATTATAGAGAGAGACCACACTGCCTTGGAACCAATGATACGATCCTCTTATCTTGATCTGATCCTCATCTGTATTTACATACTTATTTAAATGGGATGAATTTGACTTTTTTCATATATTTAGTGGGATAATTGATTGGTATGCCAGTATCAGATGACAGACCCTTGGTGAAATCCCAAGGTTATTGGAAAAATTCTTTGGGGCAAGTATACATAGCTTTTTGCAAGCCCATATGAAAAGAAAATGTTCTTCCGAAAAATGATGCCAAGGAACAATTATGGCCAGTAGATTCATTTTGGGTGGACATTTATTGGAAAGGAAAGGACTTTCTGTCCATGAAGTTATTATGTCTCAGGATGGTTTATTGTCGTGAGAAGACTGTATTGATGTATTCATATTTAATATTGTTGACAACTGTGATGTTTGTTTCTGACAGTGGTATCCTCTTCCTGTTGATTACATGCAGCATTGGAGGTTTTCACAGGTAACATGTTTGGAGAATGCTGCAGTTGACTCTCGTCCATTCCCTCGTGTAGATGTCTCTAGCTGTAGTCGTACATTTCATGTGCATGATCGCATGGAGTTCATGTTTTCAGACTCGCCCAAATGTGTTGATTTTTCTTTTCGTACTTATGTGAAGTTTAGTTTCAGAGTAATTGTGTGCATTTTATTTATTTCTGAATGTCTTTTTGTGATATTGCTGTGTTGATAGAGACAGATGTTATCACGACCATCCATTGAAATGATTGGTTGATGTGTGTCACATGGTTTCTATACATTTTTGTTGCGACTGTTTGAACAAATGTTTGGCTTTGTGTAGTATTTCATCTTTTTCACCAGTCTGTTAATATTTATGGCTTTAGAATGAAAAGAATTGGTTGGTCATATGTTTTTTCAGATATGACAATAAATAATTGATTACAAATACTTAAACAGATTCCGTGTAGAAGTGATGAAATCTTTCATTTGAAATTGGATCTGAGCAGCTTGTAATATAAACTTTGTGGAGCTCAGTTCCGGACAGTTTTATATGCTTGATAAAAAATTTAACTTGGAACAGATAAACTGTTTCTTATTTCACTTCATCTCACAGTTTATTGTGTAGTGGCACATCACTGATATTGACATGATCAATGTCCAGATGCATGGTTTGAGTACATAGTTCTTCATCAGTTTTGTTTGTAGATTCAGCATGGACACCGAATAGCTTCTATATGGCATGTGTAGTTGAGAACAGTGTGTTTGACAGCTTACGTTTGAATATACTTTAGTTGAAATTTAGGAAAAAATATTTCATGAAAGATTATATTATAATGGTCTCTTAATCTGGATGAAATATCGTGATTGTTTTTGTAACAGTTTGTGTTATGTTTATTCTTGCACATGAGATATATTATTTATTCACCACTGAGTGAAATAAGGTTATACGGACATGTAGGTCATCAGAGTTGTACATTTCTCATATAGTGATCATAGTGTGTGGGTATGACACGGTGTACACAGGCTTTACGCTGCACCTGGGTTGTTGATAACAATGATATGTGAAACCTTCAGGTCTTAGTCACCAAATATCTATGATTAAAGAAGCATTCACAGTTTTAGTTTGCAAATGGGGTGTGGCAGCCCAGGGGTCTCAGTGCTGCATTTGACTGTTTGCATCCTCTTACCGTGCAGACTGCCTCCGTGGTCTAGTGGTAGAGCGTCCGCCCAGAGAGCGGAAGGTCCGGGGTTCGATCCCCAGCCGCGTCATACCAAAAGACGTTAAAAGATGGTACTTGTTGTTACCCTGTCTGGCGCTCGGCATTAAGGGGCTAAAACAAGGACTGGTCGGCTCGGGAGTCAGTATACTGTGTCTGAGTGGGATATTCATGTTAAACTGTGGCATGGTATCTCAGTGGACTAGCACTATAAATCAGAGGGGTCCGGACTAGTACAAGCAGCCACACACACACACACGTGCATGCACGTTGCTATATAAGTGCAATAATCTTGGACGCGACGTTAAACCCAATTTCACCTCACCTCTAACCGTGCAAGGTTCCACTGATCATGGGTTCGAATCTCGTATTTTCTCTGATTATGAACTTGATTTGTGAGCACCGACCTTGTGCTCGTGGGTTTCACCAAAGTGACAAACAGCTGTGGCCTTGGCCTTGCTCCAAGGCTGTACTGAAAGAAACGTCCATGGATGTTTCGTAATTCTATCCTCCTAATAGGAGTCTAGATATGTGGACAGTACACACCAGTCTCTTACAGGGACAACTTGTTCTTATTATTTACTTAATCTAGAACTTATGATTTAGACTAATAATTATTGCCTAAGAGACTTGTGCAAGTCTACTATGGCCTGTGTGACTTGGGACTTTCCTCCCACATTAAGCTGACAAGTCCGTGAAAAAAGTATTGTTTAAATAGGCATCAGGCCCAGTTCACACAGAGTAATGAAGTCTTTCAGTATGAAATGTTTCAAAAATGATATTTGTGTGTTTTTTTAAGAAGTAATAGAGATTTGAAGAATGATAAACAATCTGTATGCTGGTAAAGATAAGTTCTTTAACACAAACCATTTATGATGTATTTGCACTGGTAAAGTTTGATGTTTTGATGCAAAAAGGTAAGGCTCTGTGCACCATTGAACACTTTCATCAACCAAATCTCATGTGCATATATTAACAGACCATTCTATTCTGAGAACTAGTTTTCAAGTAGATCTTGAGTGGAAGAAGATGACTAAAGCTCTCTCTTTGACTCTTAATATCTAATATCTCGTAAAGGGAGATGACGTTTTTAGGTTGTTTTCAACAGCTGTTTGCTGTAAATTGTATAGCTATAGTGCCTGGCACTTTTATCCGCCCCGATTTTCGTGATGATAAGCCCCGGTTAGATAGTCCCACCGAAGGGATTCCCCTCATCTCACAATCAACCAGCTGCGCAGCTCTTTCCTCCAGCAGATAGCAGTCGTGTGTGGGGAGTTACCCCCCTTATATCATAAATATTGTTACAACTTATCAGAGGAGAAACTTGAGAAAGGTTATTGGCTCATCCAAACTGGAATAATTGGATGAAAGTATATCCCAGTTTTGGGCAGATCCTGTTTACTTGCAGTTTTGTAAGAAAATTTATCAGATATTTATATGGCGTTTCCCTTGCAATTTGATCAAAGATTAATTTCTGTAATGGATGAAAGGCTGAAAATGCATTCTTTTTTCCAATGACACATTTTACAAAGAATCGAGAACTGTTCTAATTTGCTTTGTTTCAAGTGTATGCAAATGAAATATTCTTCTTTAATTAAATGTTAATTTTGCAGCATTGAAGACTGTTAAGTTTAATACATGGAGTAATGTCTTTACATTTAACAAATAACTTCCTTTCAATTTCAAGACATTAATTAGTAAGTCATTGTCAGAGGTTCTCTGATTTTCTTCTGATATATATTTATATATATATAAAACAATGTACATCAGTGTACATCCACATTGGTAAGTCTTGGATAAGGATTTAGAAGTTGGAAGAACATGAAAACAAAAGTTTGTAAGAGTTTTTAGCGGGATAGGGTGGTCAGGCTCGCTGACTTGGTTGATGCATGTCATCGTATCCCAATTGCGTGGATTGATGCTCATGATGTCAATCACTGGATTGTCTGGTCCAGACTATTATTTACAGACACGGCATCATATAGCTGGAATATTGCTAAACAGCAAACAAACAAAAACATAAAAGTTTTAAGCATAGCAACATCTTTTTTGTTTGTAATGTTTCTTGACTACTCCTTACCCTTCATGCCTGTTTTAGGGGCAGGAAGTAGCCCTGAAATGTGGCTACGAACAGTAGGTGTTGGTATCTATACAAGTTTCATATCTTTAAGTTATATTGTCCTTGCTGATGATATGTTTCTTTACACAGAATACTAGTATACACTAGATGGCCTTGCATTGGTGTTTAAAGCACCACCATATTCACCTCATCATGCCATGGCTTGGAACACCCTATTCACCTCATTATACCATGGCTTAAAACACTGTATTCACCTCATTGTACTATGGCTAAAATGTGATATTCACCTCATGCCATGGCTTAAAATACCATATTCACCTCATTATACCATGGCTTAAAGCAATGTATTCACCAGAGTGTGTTTGTACTTCCAGGCTGGAAGGAGAATAGTGGACTTGTATGAAGATCTCCGCGATGGACATAACTTGATCTCGCTTCTGGAGGTGCTGGCACACGAAATATTGGTAAGCGTGATGAAAATTGTTTTTATGAAATACAACTACACGTTTTGGTTGGTTGGTTTTATTGATCTGGCAAATGTTTTTGTGAAAAGGAAATAAGCCCATTCCTTTATTTATTCTGTCAAAAACCAAGTTTCCTGTCAACAATTTCCTGATAACTTTTCAGTGTTTGGACTTATTTAGATTTTAAATGCTTTTTAGTATTGTAAAAATATCAGTTTGTTATAATATTTTGCGTTTGAAAAGACAAGTTATGAAAAGAATTATGAAAATGTGAACAAGCTATACTACAACTACATATTAATATCTCACTTGTGTCCACATAGTCTACATTACAGGGGGGCACAGGTGGCCTAGTCATCTGGTGGGTTTCGAATCCCGGTTCGCCCCGATTATGTTTCTAGGTTTGTCAGCACCATACCCGTGCCCGTGGGTTTCACTGAAGTGGTAAACGTCTGAGACCTGCATCACTTCGGGCTTTCCTCCCACATTAAGCTGACACGCCGTGATATAACTAGAATACTGTTAAAAGCGGCGCTAAACCCAACTCACTCACTACATTACAGTATTTCAAGTAATTGAGGTTCTGGTGTTATTAATTGTATAAGTAATATATTTGATTCAATAAAAAAATTCATTTTCTGTTTCAGCCAAGAGAAAAAGGACACATGAGATTCCACAAAATTCAGAATGTACAGATAAGCTTAGAGTTTCTCAAAATGAAGGGGGTAAGTAGTATGAAAACTGGAAAAGAATCTTGTGGCACTGGCTTGCTCCAAGCAGCTTTGGTGATAATTAATGGGAGACAACTCTACATTGCCTAGCACAAATTGTCACAGTCAGAGGATATTGTGTGAATTGATAACATAGCTTATGGCATTCTGCACACACTTGACTCTTCCATATAAATCTTGATATTACATAAAAGAATATCATCTTCATATCAAGAAGAGTTCCTTGGTATTTTGATGCCAAGTAACAGCATTGTTGTCAGTAATTAGTAACAATTAAAATGATGATCATGAATTGAAGTGTTATAAAATCCTTTTACTGTTTTACAATGTGGACAGCACAACTTTAATAATAAAGAAAACAAATTGTTTATCAATGAATCATTTCTTTTTAGATACGACTGGTCAATATAAGGTCCGATGAAATTGTGGACGGAAACCCCAAACTGACCCTGGGGTTGATATGGACTGTTATCTTACATTTCCAGGTAGGTGTTATATGCATGATATACATATACAGGCTGTTCATCACACGTGTGTGATGTGTACATGATATATGTGTGACATGAACATACACTATACAGTGAAACCTTCTTAAACAGGCCCCTGTTCATTCCAAACCCCTCTATTTTGGAATCAGTACATATTTAAATGGATTTTATTCTGTTTGATTCATTAATCCCGAAAGTTGTTTATTCGAAGTAATTTCAATGGAAATGGTAAGTCTTGATTAACAGGTTTCACTGAACACATGAACATGAAATATACAGTCAAGTCTTGTTAATCCGACACTCGTTAATCCGACAATCGGCTTCATCCGACACTAATGATGGGAACTGATTAATTTAGTGCTATTTGGACCCATTAATCCGACAGTATCGCACTCCAACTCTGACACACCTAATTTGCAACAAATTACCGAAATCACTCATTAATCAGTCTCGTTAATCCGACACCGTGATCAGTGTATTCCGTGTTTGGATGCAAGATGAGTCGGCAGCTGCATATTACAACGGCTGCAGAGATAAACTTGCTTAACAATAAACAGTTAATGAACAATTCGTGTTTTATATCGTTATCTATCGTGTAGTTGTCGGATTTTCAACCACGAACGTTGATACTACTTAATTTCTTTTATCAGATATAGTCGTTAATTTGACGTAATCATATGCAACCAACCGTGTCGGATTAACAGGACTTGACTGTACGTGTGATATTGACATACCTAGTGCATGTGGTGTATTATAATGGCAATGCACTTCTTCAAAATCATTGTTTCATGTTATGTAATACTGTATTTCATGCAGTTGTTCCCTTGATATGAACATGATTAATATTTCGTACATCCTTGATTAAAGATCCCTTCCATGCATCAACAATAGGTCCGATGTAATCCAGGTGTAAAGTCTGTGTTACAAGTGATACAAGATCACTACCATTTCGTGATATTGTTTGTAAAGAATTTCAGAATAAAAATGTCGGAACTGTTGCAATACCTCACATATGAGGGCCTTTGGAAAAAACATGCCTTTAGTCAGGGATTTTCGGTATATTTATATGTGCTTGATTGAATAGATGTTCACATTCCATGCAGTTCTGGCCTCATGCTTAAGGATTGTGTTGAATGTTTGTTTGTCTATTGTTGAGTGAAAACTGACATTTCTAGATCAAATAAAAAACCTTCATTCTTTTATGCGGAATATTTCTGTAAAATGAGTTTTGTTACTCAAATGGTATCTGTCTGTTATTTGTTTGAAAGAAACTTTTAGATCAGAAAAGTAATTACACCACTGCTACAAATAGGAAACGTCAGTTTTCACGTCATATTGCTGTATTCAAAACAGTCACAGATCATGTTTTTGTGAGCAAAACAAATGGATAATCTACCAAAGACTGGCACCACAGCCTAGAGAATTCAAGCCCGTGTCTAAAGACAATGTTGATGTCTATATTTCACACTCTCCTCACTTCCTGAAAGCCATTTCGTAGATTGTAATGTCATACCAATGTTGTCCACCATCTCAGAGGCCACTCCAGTACATTAAGCCTGAGAGGGTAGAACTCACACAAAATATGTTCTGACTGCTGGATACATATATTCTTTTGTCCCCCTCCTTTCATTGGTATGTTGTACATGACAGTGAATGACTTATGTGCTCCAGGCACCATCACTCTCGTGTACTGTCACACATTCAGCAGGTGCTTGCAGGTTCTTGCAGCCTCATGGGGGTTGTCACAATTCACCTGACATTACGATTAGGGCTGGCTGTCGATACAGATCATTGAGATCGATAATCGCAAACTAAATATTGATCAAACATCAGTCAATTATCGATGAATATCGGAAAAGTCACTTTAAGCAAATATGAAAGAAAATCCAAAATAATTTTAACATTGTTCACGCCACTGGTGAGCTGTGACACATTTATGCATAGATTACTTTGTGGACATTTGACATATAACAAAAAACGGTAGCTTTTCGTCTTCGACAATTGACAATATTGACACCAACAAGTCTGTTTTGGTAAATCTAAACTTTATTGCTTCACAGTAGTTATGTAAGTTGTTATCGATGACAACAATACACGAGGTATCGTACTATGACACAAGTACTACGTTTATAACAAACACAATTATAACGAACTTAATTTTTAGTCCTGGCCATTTGTTGTATATATGCTGTATGTATGCTTATAACAAACTACAGTAATTACTTACTTAAATTAGTGGCCTCTTTGAGTTTGTTATAACTGTAGTTTACTGTATCATGATATGTATCGACACTTGAGGTATTGTGACACCCCACCATTGGCTCAGTGATACATGCAGCAGATGCAGCAACTCCATCGACTGTGGGTACAGATGGGACGCAGCTACCCTGGCTGCTGATGGAGAGGGCAATAACACTGATATCGACACACCTCGCACAGACTCATATACACCAGGAACCATGTATTCTGTTAATATGGAGACAGATAAACCCAAGTTGATACACAGTGTCATGTGAATACAAGGGAATATGTGCCACATGTCACAAAGTTTTTAATTAAAAGAAGCTCACTGAGTGATCACTTCATTACCTGATGGTGTATGTCTACAGACATATGTTCAATTGATACACTGTTGAGAGTCATACAGTAAGATGCTGCATGGTTTCACCGTCTTTTGTAACTACACGTAACTGTAGCTAAATCAGTTTAGGTTTTGACACAGCAGGAGATGGATTGTTATACATTTATTTTTGTGTTAGACACTTAAGAAATCAATCATGGCTTGCACACAAAATTAACAATTAAGATTGTTGAAGAAAAAGTCTTATGACATAAGCAACAAATTTGTTTGACATGTTCGAGAGTAGAGAAATCAATATTAATAATGAATATATTTTGACAGTTGTGTAAGGTTGTGGACATTATTTATTAACATGGCCATAGTACTGTTATGAATTAATTGTTGGTGACAATATTTTGAAGTTAGCTTTGATGGTCATGTCCCAAACCTGTGAGAAAGTCTGCATCTCATACCTCGTGGTATGCTTTATATACGGTTATAACGAACTCAAAGGGACTACTAATTTTAGTTGGTTATAACCGTAGTTCGTTATAAGCATATATACAGCAGAACTACAGCAAGTAGTCGGGACCAAAAAGTAAATTCGTTATATCCGTCAGTTCGTTATAAGCGTGTTTGTTTTAACTGTAGTCTACTGTAGCTATATCTGATGTTCCTTGTCTATTTATGGTATGTCTAAAAACAACCATTCATAAATGCAAGATTTCTCAAGACGATATGTCACAAGCTATGATAAAAGTTACTTTTTCCAATTAGAAGGCTTTAAAAAGCAACATTTGAACTTATTTATGTCCTCATTTCAGTCACCTGTCCTGAAAATATTAAAAAACAATAAATATTTTTTTGTGGTGAAAGCTGCATCAGCGATTACTCTTGACAGATGTAGAGTGGAATATACAAACTTAACGTGACTCCAACCAGCTGAAACTCTGTCTCGTCCTTTGGGCAATTATGACGAACAAATGTTTTTGAAAAAATGTGTTTACTTTGACATGATGCAAATGTTTCTAGAATCATCGTAAATTGCTATAACAGACAGGGGTTTATCTCCTGCTAGTAAATATGTGGGGCTTCTCTTATCATAATGAACAGATAGGGAGAGGTTTGGGCATGCTTCGAATTCTGGTCTCGCATGTGACAATCTTTCTCATGCTTTGGAGTGGTGTGTTGAAATTTATGGGTGAAGCGTGGAGACATCTTCGTTACAAAAACAGAAGTTTTCTTAGATATAGATAGGTGCTCTTCTTGGCAGACATTTAATTGTGACTGATGAGATTGGTGATTGCCTATCTGTGATGGTCATCTGAGTGACTGGAACCCAGAAAGTGTGTACATTTGCCAATATGTTGTAGGTTTGAACTGATGTTTTTGTCAACGTACCTATTTTTAAGCTGATAATCGTAGTCATTTCTGTTATGGAGTATTTGAAGTAGCTATTGTCATGGTTACTATTTTGTCGGTTCCAAGCTGATGCTGTCATATCATGAATGTTTTGGAACGTTTTAAATTTATGCTAGTCTTGTTTTTGTGATTTTGTTGGTTAGGTAATTGATTTAATAATATTTCATTTACAATTTGCATTCGACATAATCTGTTGTGTATGGACGTGAACTGTGTTGACATAACGTATCTGTTTTGTTGGCGTGAGTCTGTTGTCCTGGTTTTGTTGTTGGTTGTGCCAAAATGAAATAGTTTTGTTGATGTGGGTCTGTTGTGTCGAAACATGTCAGTTTTCAAAGGATCTGGAACATTTTGTCAACATAGGTCATTTTTCTTAGAGGCATTTTATTTATTTAAACTAAACCCATAAAAGACACAGAACCATACTTCCTCCTAGACATAACAAAGAAAGACACTTTAACTTATCATGAACAATACTAATTTGCCAATCACAAAATCCATTTTCCTCTCTTAATGGGTTTAAATGGCTCCATGTGTTGAAAAAAGGTGTAATTTTACATCTAGTATAACAGATTTTGTTCAAGCTAGTCTTCAGGATGCCAACATAACTGCTATGTCGATTACAAAGTTTATGCTATGCTTTCACCAGACACTTTGTTCAGACGTGGAGTTTATAACCTACGTGCTGGGCAGAAAGGCACCAGAGTCTGTGTTGGTTCTCCAAAAGGAACAAGGTTGAGTCATGTCTACCACCCACAGGCTTCGTAGTGTGATACAAATACTGTTCAAAGTGGCATTAACCAAACTCACTCACTCACTCACTCACTCACTCACTCACTCACTCACTCATGGGGATAATATGCTGCATATTTTGTATGGGGAATGATATTTTTATTTGAGTGGGGACTGAATGTGACTTATTTCTTGAAAATGGTGTCATATGACCAGTGTTCAATATTGTCTGGGAACTGATAAGATCGGATATTTGATGCATGACATTGCATGGAGAAACAGT